AGGCGACAGGGACGGAGACTGACAGCAGCTGCCTGGGGTGGTGGAGAAAGTGGTGCCAAGTAAGAGCCGACTCTTCAGGGAGTTCCGCTGTGAAGAGGACGCAGAGGGTGGGAGCCGGAAGGAGAGGTGGGATTACGAGCCGCGCGCGCGTTCTTACAGGAGATGGTGTGGGGTGAGCATGTCTGCATGCCACCAGGAATGATCCAGGAGAAAGAAGAATACTGACGGTGGAGGGGGGGGGGAGAGGGAGGGAGAGAGGGAGCAAGAGAGACTGGCCAATGGAGAAGCGGCTTGGGGGGGGACGGACCTAGGGCGCAAGTCGGGAGCTGCTCTCAGCTGGGGGCATGCACAGCACATCCGGGTGACGAGAGAAGGCGGCCTAGGGAAGGACACATGCCCTCCGTTTAGCCGGCAGGACCTTTTCACGAAAGATAACAGGAGCAAAAGCAACTGCCTGTCTCCACAACTTCCAGGAGAGGAAGGTAATATTTCAAACAAATAACCTTTCTGTAAAACAATTTTTTTTTATTCCCTCAAACATAAATGAGCCCTGTGTGTGCAGAATAAGAACAGGGATGAGCCTTCGCTCTGCTACCCGACGGCCAGCATTTCATCAGGCGACGCCTCTGAACCCCACGAGTCCCGGGACATTCTGCTCGGCCACATTGATTAGACCAGCATCCCACGTTAACACAGGAGGACACTAGACAATGTATCATAAAGTTGAGACAGCTGTCAAAGAGAGCACGAGTAAACGTGGCTCCTTCTGACATGTAAATACAAAGCTATCTCGATCTGAACTTACAAATCAATCACACTAGACAGTTATTTTCCAGACTGATCACAATCCTACCAGGGTCCAAAGCCCACCGATGTTTACCCAGCACCAGGCACAGCTCCTCCCTGAAAAATGACAGTGTCCCTTCTGCAAAAGACAACTTAATGTGAACACTCGGGGCTGACGGGAGCGAGGCTGCTGCGTGAGTGCCCTCTGAAAGCTAACATGTGCTCAAAGATCTTTCATCACGAACAACATCTTTGTCTTCGTACATGCTTCTCCGGAGAGATGACAGATATGAATCGTTAATCCCACAAATCACTAATCCTATGGGAACTCGGGGGAATGAATCTGCACAAGCCGCCTGCATCCCTGCTGTGCCTGTGGCCTCAGCACACATGGGCAGAGCCAGGGGTTTTGTTTACTGTCATCCAACTGCTGCCGTAAGCCAACACAGGAACCCATCGTCACAACATTAACCGAAGCACAGTCTCAGAGGAGAGCGAGTGAGGGGCCTGCCGCTGGTCCTTCACTGGCCTCCTCCAGCTTAGAAATAAAACCTCTCCTTAGAATCCTGTAAGCCTGTGCAGGAAAGCATCTAGCTCTTGGAGTAAAGTAGAGCCTCCACCCTTCATAGCTGGCAGGGGAGATATCTGGAGCCGTTGGGCTGGGCCTCCCGAAGTGGATGCCTCTCAGAACCCTGCCCATGGCCTTCTTGGGCACGGCAGGGGCATGTCACTAGGACCTGGCCCACTTTACTCTGATTCCCTCTGATTCCACTGGGAGCGTCCTGAAAGCCAAAATTATATCTATTCATCTCCAAATCTGCAGCACAGTGTAGAGGACCAACTACTGGAAGGCCCTGGGCACCTGCTGACCAGGTAACTGGGTGGGGTGTCCAGGCTCAGCCCCTCCTCCCTCTGTGCAATGCCTTCTTCACGGAATGGGGTGGGGGCGACACTGTGCGTCTTCTGAGGAAGTCTGCCGTGCGCTCACTCCCCTGGCTTCTCACTCTCTTAGACTCCTTGCTCTGGAAGAAGTCGCCTGCAAGTAATGATGATGCTCAGGCACCCCGTGGGGAGGCCTGTGTGGAGAGGAAGTGAGGGCTCCTGTCAGGAGCCAGCACTAACCTGCCCACCAACTGAGTGCGCCACCTTGGAAGTGACCTCTGGACCCCAGTCCAACCCTCAGATGACCGCAGCCATGGCTGACGTCTGACTGTGATCTTATGACTCTGAGCCAGAACGACCCAGGTGAGCCACTTGAGGATCCTGATGCACAGAAAACATGAGAGATTCTGTTTCCTGTTGCAACACCACTAAATTTGGGGGCGATGTTAATACAACAATAGATAATTAATGTAGCAACCTTGGAGAATTTGGGTGTTGTGTTATAAGGGAGTTCGAGGGATTTTCCTAACGACAACATTATTTTATGGTAATGCCATGCTTATAATAAAAATTTGTAATTAGTATTCTACAGAATACAACCATAACATGGCTGATTAACATGCAAATTTAAATATTCCATAGATCAAATTACACAAATTACACCACCTTAAAATCTAACAATTACATTCAGTAAATGTTGGGATATAATACAGGACAATATGATAATACAATCTTTTTTGGATGTTGTCTTTTGTTTTGAAAAATTGTATATTACGTATGTATAGAAAAAAGCGTAGAAAGAACAACATCCATCAAAATCTTAACAATAACTTTCTCAGGGTGACAGTATTAATTTTTCTCTTTTGTTTTCTTTTCCAAAATCTACAATATGTATATATTATTAGTGTCCTATTTTTTTAATTAAATTTTTTTACAATCCAATTAAGCCAGCAGCTATGTCTTATTGGTGTTTCTATTCCTGACATCTAAGACAGTAAGTGGCCCATAGTAGGTGCTCAATAAAAGTGGACTGAATGACCTTTAAATATAGATCCTGCCGACTGACCAGTAGTTCTATAAAGGGATTCCAGGATAACCTAAGCCCCAAAAGCTCAATGATGTGAAAAGGCAACAGTCAATTTTCACAGGAAATAGGCTACTAAGTATAGGAAATCATTTCAACGTTGTATTCTTAGGACGTGTTAACCACTCTTCTCTTTGAAACGAAGTATTCTGAGTGATTTATTATAAATTTATAATGACAGTTGTGAGCACCTCTTTTTTTTTTCTTTTTGGCATGAGAACAGAGTCTGTTGATTGCCTCGGTGCTTAAAATAGTTTCTAAGTGTCCTCATAATAGCATGTCACCTGTAAACAGGTTTCAAGCCAATGCAAATTAACAAATGGTGAACAGATGGACTAAGAACTGACTTTTGTCAAGAGAGAGTTAGCAGCAAACACTTTTTGGCTCTGGTCTTATGGGACCGTTAGAAAGTCTTTCACTTCTCGCCAAACATCTTGCCCCAGTAGACAATCCACACAGGGAAAATGACAAGTTACAAGGCCCACTGGACTCCTGAGAACTGCAAGTTGAGTTCTGCAGAATCGCCACACCAACACACGAGAAACAGAGTAACGTTCCCGAAGAAGCTTTCTGCCAAATCGTGAAGACTCGGTCTTGCATCATTCAAAGAAACTACCTCTGCAGTCTCTGAGAGCCACAGACCCAGTACACGCGGCAGACAAGAGATAACTTGGAGGCTGGTTGGTTATCTTCATTCTACCCCGGAAGCAAACGTTAATTGTGAAGAAAAGCTGAAAATCATGTGAACGGTGGTCTAAGAGTGTCCACCAGTAGGAGACAAGATCCCCAGTCATCCTCTGTAACCTCCCCAGCTCCTCACTGGCCTTCCTCCTCCTCCTTCTCCAAGTTTCTTCCTAAGGTCATCTCCTTAGAGACGTCTTCTTAAGCCACTCGATTTAAACAGTTCCCCCATTCCCACCCCTTCCCACCCAGCATGGTCCCCTTCCTAAGCATTAATCATAACCAGAAGTTATTGCTTCATTGTATTGATTTGTTTAGAGGTGTTTTGGGGGGTCTTTTCCCCCCAGTAAACAAAAAGCTTCAGGAAGATGGGACCATGTCTGTCTGGCTCATGGGTCTATCCGCAGAGCCTAGGACAGTGCCTGGCAGACAACAGGTACAATAAATATTTGCTAATCAAACAGAACATCAATGAAGATTAATAACTGAGTGCCATCTGCAAACACTCCTTTGGACTGGAAATTTTAAAATGTAGTTTGTAACTGAGATGTAAAGGAAATGGGTCTAAAAAGAGGGCAGGGTGGGCTAGGGAACATGTGTAACGCCCAAGTCAAGCCTTTTGGGAGCACTGCCCTCTCGGGGGAGGGTGCACGCTGAGAGAAAGGCCATGAGCAAGGACTGCTGTATTCACATCTCTGATTCCACACCACTGAGCAAGCCTTGGTCCTCATCTACTACGGCTTCTTGTACAAAATAACCCAACAGGCAGATGCATCGATTGCAACATTTCAGAAGGAAGACTACGCAGCAACAAAAAAGAACAAACCTGGATCAATCTAACAGATGATGTTGAATGAAAAAAAAAAAGCTGATACAAAAGATTACATATTGTGTGACTCAATTCATATGGAGTTCAAGAGCAGGTAAAAGTAATCGTTCCAAGAAGCAGAACAGTGTTAAACTTGGGGAGGGAGGCGGCACAAGTACAGACTGGGAACACGAGGAGGAATCCTATGGGATTTGGGAAATGGTGGCCCTGTGGCTCGATCTGGGTAGAGCTCCATGGAGGAGTACACGTGTGAAGAAAAATTATCAGGCTACACACTTTATGAACCTTACTGGTATCTCTCCTGTCGGGAAAAAGAAGAGCTACTATTTTTAAAAAGCGGGCCAGCACTGATGCTAAGGCCGGCCTATCATATTCTCAGGGTAGCCTGCCGCTTATTATGATGTGCTCCTCAGCTGCCCAATCTGTAAATTAAGGGCAACTGTACTTACCCTCTGCCTGCTATGTGAATGTGACAAGGAAACAAAGAATAAGTAATGAGGTATTTTTAAGTCCTCAGTGGAAAAGTTGCACACGAAATACGTACACCATGAACTGCATTATAACTGCTTCATTTAAAATCTATGCAAAATATGTTACCCACATGCCTGGTGTCTAACCTTAACAGACACCATTTTTAAAGAAAGAAACAATTTGGCAAAAGTAACTTTCCATTTGCCAAGAACAAGCACAAAGTAGAGTTCACCAGGACAAAAGGACTTGTTCAAAGCCTTTACTCACTGAGGTGGTAACACAAGGGTGGTGGGCTGGGCCTTTGGTCTCCGTTTAGCAGACACTCCCATCTGGTTAGCAGAGCGTTTCAACGACTGTTGATTCAAAAGGCCAGATGCAAGACCCGCGTGGTACTGCAACTGCAGGGAGAAACAAAACCAAGGAAGGGAAGTAACGTCTGGGAAAAGCAGAGCAAGCAGTAGTCAACTATCAATACTTGATACGTCTTACCCCTTTGGAACATTTTAAATAATTTCAAATATTGCTACTAATGTTGTGCTTCAAGGAATGTATTCATAAAGAGATAAACAAACAGGAAAAGAAACATGAATACGGTTGTTCAGCACAGCATTACATAATGATAAAGAGCTAGACACAATGTAAATGCCCAACAATAACTGGGAAATTGTTTAAAATATTGAAAGATTTTTACATCATTTTGTTGAAATGAAGAAAAAAAACAAACAGGTTCCATCATAAACACGGAGACACTTAAAAAGATGTTCTCTAAAATGCTGACAATGTATTTCTAAGCAATAGAATTTGAGTAATTTTTACTTTCTTCTTTATTTTTCACCAATGCTCACATACATTTTATGTAAATGGTTTTAAAGCCTATGTCATTTTTTATAAAAAGATCCAGGGGCTTTTGGTTTTCTGCTCAGAGGAGGCCAAGGTGCAACTTTCTTGGGTCATCCCAAATCCGGGTTCATCCGACACCGGCCGCCTCCACCATGCCACAGAAGTTCGACCCCAAGGAGATCCAAGTCATATACCTGAGGTGCACCGGTGGGGAAGTCGGTGCCACAGTCGGTGCCACGTCTGCCCTGGCCCCCAAGCTCGGCCCCCTGGGTCTGCCTCCAAAAAAGGTTGGTGATGACATCGCCAAAGCACCAGTGATTGGAAGGGTCTGAGGATGACGGTGAAACTGGCCATTCGGAACAGACAGGCCCCAACTGGGGTGGTAACTTCTGCCTCTGCCCTGATCATCAAAGCCCTCAGAAAACCACCAAGAGACAGAAAGAAGCAAAAAAATTTAAGCACAGGGGAAATCTCACTTTAGATGAGATTGTCAACACTGCCTGACAGATGTGATTCCAATCTTTAGCTCGAGAACTCTCTGGAACCATTAAAGAGATCTTTTGGGAACTGCCCCATCTGTGGGCTGCAATGCTGATGGCCGCCACCCTCATGACATCATAGATGACATCAAGTGGTGCGGTGGGATGCCCAGCGTTAAGCACTAAAGGAAAGTATTTCAATTGAAGATCATTTGACAACCAAAAAAAAAAAAAAGATCCAGAGTGTTTCCTTAAATTAAATTAGTTCTGGGCAGTCTTGCTACTCTCACGCTGCTACAGTGAACCAAGGGCCTAGCAAGGTTTCTCATAAACACCAGCAAACAGACCACAGCTTCAGAAGCACTGGAGCAGCTTCAGAAACCTGTTTTCAATGGTTAAGATGCAAGTGTCCACATAAGAATAAGGGTGAATGTATTTTACAACAATGGATGCAAATGGATCCAGGCTTACTGAAGGAAGGGGATGGAGAAGGTAATGTCACTCCCAGTGCATGCGCTGGAATGCAGTGGGGAGGGCGCAGCACGCTTTCATGGGCTCAGGGCCAGCCTGCTTGGCTCTGTCCTGGACGAACCGCTGAGCTCCGAGGTTACTTAGGACTCATCAGCTTACTTCTCTAGACCGCAATTTCTCATTGGAAAAGAGAAATAATACTGCCTAATTCGAAACCAAACAGGACTTTTTTAAAATTCCACTTTATCGAGTTATAATTTACATGAAATAAAATGCACACATTTGAAGTGTACAGTCTGATGAGTTTTGATAATGTCCATATACCTGTAAAACTGTATCAAGATACAGAAATTTTCCATCACTGCAAAAGTTCCCTTGTGTCCCAACGCAGACAATTCCCCCCACCCCCAACTCCTACCACCAGGATCTTTTGCCTTAAAATACAATTAATTCTCACTCGCTGCAGAATGAAGCTTACATTCAATTTGCCATGTGACAGTGATTCCTACTTCCCTGTTTAATCCCATACTTTTGTATTTTAGATCATAAGCGTTGTCATGAATCTCTCTATAATAAAATTATCCTTGATAGGGATTCCAATTTTGAGCAGATGTAAATAAAACATTCAAATGTGAAAATGCCAAGATAAGAATTTGGATGGAGACCATTTATAACATCCAGTATGTTTCTCCCTCCCTTCTCAAATTAAGCAAGGTCTTTCAAACATTTATTTAGAATTAACTGAACATACAAAAGTAATTCATTCTGAGGCTCTGAATCAATTTTCTTTTCAAATGCTCTTCGAAGGATAGATTTCCTCTGCAGAGTCAGCTGCACTACAGCTCATGGTAATGAAACTGGTGACCACCATTTAAAAGGGGCTGGGCCCTGGATGCAATGGGTAATAACGTCCTGAAAAATAAATGGCCTCCCTTAAAGCCACTGGGCTGCACACAAACAGAGAGTGAAAGAAAACCAAACCAAATGAAATGATCTGCTTCTTGAAAGTGGCTATAAAAATGAAGATATCCAGTGACCCAGTGAGACTGAAATGTCTGTTTGGAGCCTCCGTATTGCTCTGTAACAGCTTCTTGACTTACGTGGTCGATTTGCTGTGGGAACCTTATGGCTGCACGACACAAGACAAAGATGTATCACATTCAAAATAAAAATGGAGCTCCTCTCAGGGTAGAAAGGGGGGCATAATTTGGCTTTAACAATTCATCTTAGACCAATGAATTTTGCTCAAATTTGTTTTTCTCCTACAGATTTCTTAAATGGGAAATCGATGGAAGCAAGGGACAGTACAAGTTTGAAAGACAATGTTTCAAAATGTCAGCTACTTGGGTTTCGATCTTCCCCACCAGAATTTGCAATGAGAGCAATATGCATGGGGCTTTATGGAATTAAAGGGAAAGACAGCTTGGCAGGGGTCCCCTCCTGGCTCAAGGAATCGGCTCTCCATTTGGCTCTCCTCTTCTTTGTATCTTATTAGGGTCCGTGCAAGCTCAGCCATTCTAGCCCTGCTGACTCTCGGAGTGGAAGCGTCCTGCTAACTATGCAGAGTGGCAGGGTGATTTTGCCCACCTGGCATCATTTCGATCATTTTTGTTCAAACAAACAAGCAAAAGAAAAACAAAACAGCAAAAACGCATGCTAGCTAGCTAGCTGCTGCCTGTCTTTTAAAGGGCTCCTTTAAAGCCTCTATCATCTTGGACAGTCTCGACATAACACTGCACCCTTAAGAGTGCATGGAGGTGGAAGGACCCCCTCTTCCCAAAACACAAAACCTGCCCTTGAAAGCTGACTCATAGTGATTAAGTGACATTTGTTAATCATATATACTTATCCCAGTTTCCAGGAACGCTACTCCGACTGTCAGGATCTATAAGGGGCCCATTAAATATTTACCGAACCATCTTTATAATGGGAGAAAAGGTCAAAGTTAATAAAACTGACAGGCAGCTCCTGTCCAACTGGATTTATACATTATTTAAGCACCAAACACTCCATTCCATGAAAGAGTTTAGATCTTGGAAAACGGTCACTCAGCCAATGGTTCTACAGTAGCAGAAAGGTGACCAGAGCTAACCCACAAATTAACATGAAGAACACAGCACTCCCAAAAATACTGCCATAAGTTTTCAACTGCAGGTTCCATAATATTTTCTATAAAAATGTATTTCAATAAACATGTTTCGCTCCAAATGTCTGTGGCATGGAACAGCTCTATTTAAAAAACAACTTATCGAAGTTCTAATGTGATTTTCTATCCAAAATCAGTTCCCCACTAACCAGCAAGAATAGAACGAAAGAGGGAGAGAACTGTAACAGCCTATTCTTCTGACTCCCACGGCTTACCGCGGCGGGGACAGGGAGTGTTTATGTGGCGGGTCGTGTGCGGGGGTCTTTGGTAAGTGTTAAGTTACCACTCTGTAGTAATGGCGATTTCAGTGTTCTCTGGCTTTTGAGGACATTTCTCTCAGTTCCAATTTTGCTATCTATTAACGTCCACCTTCTATTTCCTTCGACTGAACTAGGATTTCTCAAGCTAAAGCCCTTTCTAATCAATTATGTCTACCTGTTACCTCTCTACATGGGAAAATCTCAACAACTCATAATGATCTGAGGAAAACAGCATTTAGAATTAGAAAGGCCTTGATGTACTGACTATTTTTAAAGTAATGCTGTTTCAGTAACATTAAAACATGCAAAAGTGCCAGGAGCAGCCAAGTGGGGGTCCTGGTACACTCTGATGGTCAGACTAAGGGCCTCTGAAAGGAGAAACGACGCTTTGGAAACGTGCTACTGGGCTATGTCATCTCACACGTCTCTACAGAGCATGCGTCCTGTTCTCTCCAGGGGCCCACGTGGCTCCAAAGCTGGTTTCCTCTGGATTGCCAAAGGAGTTAGCATGGGTGTTTGGTTTCACCACGAAGTGCTGACTTAATGTCCCTACAACTTCATGCGAAAAGTTAACAAACCTTTCCCCTGGGTGGCCTGGGTCTTCACAAATCTGTTCTTTAAAGAAGTCCAAACTATTCAGGCCCAAATTTGACTGGCTTTAATATGCTTCACATTACAATAACATACACTGGAAGGAAATGATCTGAAAGGAAATTACGAAAAATAGGATTCAAATGAGATGTTTCTGACTTAAATCTTGGGCTCAGAAAATCAGGTGGGCCACGATTCGCCCCACCCTTCAAACCTTCCACACATTGTTCTAAATGCTCCTTCCTACCTGGCTCTAGAATAAAGGATATGGTTTGCCATGGACAGGAGTTTGAGAAGAACGCAGAAGGAATTTCATCATACTGATCACATTCAATGTACTAGTTGAGCCAGTGGCGTTCAATCAGGCCCAGCTCGTGAAAGCTGCAGTGCATGCTGGGCCCTCCCTGGGTTTCACGGTGAAGCAGCCATTCCTATGCTATCCTACCTGAGCCATATGGCCGGAACCCCACACCAAGACAACCTGACATTCAACACTCTCAAAACTTATAAGCCAGGTCAATCGAGGTTTGATTCCTCCCACTATGAAAATCATTATTTCCTTCTCAAGGATTCATCAAAAGCTTCTTGGGGTGGGTTGGGGGGGGGTGGAG